TTTTTTAGGACACTTTCTCTGTGTAACAGCCCTGGCTGTACTGGAACTCACTCTTGCAGACCAGGCTAGCCTGGAACTCACAGAGATCCTCCTGCCTCTGCCTCCCAGTGCTGGGATTAATGGCATGCACTACCACCACCTAGCCTACAACGTATTTTTTATAATAAATTTATAGAGAACCAGCAAACGAGTTTTCCAAAGTATTGGAAAAAAATGATAGCTGAGCAGTGGTCACACATGCCTTTAATCCCAGCAGAGGCAGATGTCTCTACAAGACCAGTCTATAAGAGCTAGTTCCAGGATAGGCTCCAAGACCAAGAAACCCTGTCTTGAAAAACAAAAACAAAAAGAATTGATAATTACCCTGATTAGCCAGGCAGTGGTGGCGCACACCTTTAATCACAGAGGCAGGCGGATATCTGTGCTTTAGAGGCCAGATACAAGAGCTAGTTCCAGGACAGATTCTAGAGCTACAAAGAAACCTTGTCTCATTAAACAAATATCAACAAAATCAAATTCTGATTAGACCATGAGAAACATCAAACTATGTTTCCATAAATGTATGTGGTGTGTGTGTGTGTGTGTGTGTGTGTAGAAACAGAACCAATCTATTTCTAAAAACTAAGTCTCTATAATTTTTTTGAAAGTTTCAGTTATTCTCCCAATCTTTCCACTTTGAAGACAGATTACTTTATTACTGCCTAGGGAACAACCCAAACGCTTTACTTCACACAGCACTCCTGTGAAGACCCTATGTGTGCAACACTAAGAACAGACACTTATAGGAGATTTTCTCTGTGCAATGCATCACATGCACAGGCCATGTTAATCACACACCTCTGTTAAGACATCTGCAAGTTCAGCATGAACTTTAGTTCGCAGAGATGTTCTGGCCACATCGACGAGTGTTTCTCTGTCCATCTCTCTGCTTACTTTCACTTGTTCCAAAAACTGGAGTGCCCTTTCCTTTGCAGCTTCAAAGCCTTCAGTTATTATCCTGGGGTGAAGACCCTATAAACAAAACAGTTACAAAACCACTGCCAACATTTGTATAAACGACAGTTCACTAAGTTCAGGACCACTGGAAGGGACACCAGGGCCATTCATACTTAACACAATCAAGGTAACGTGATGTGCTGATTTTTTGAATACATTTAAAGGACACAGTATTCCTTTCAATGCAGAGGAAAAGAACAGACTTTACTCTAGCACAGAGTCAAGGCCAAGGGAGCCACAAAGCACACTTGGGTGTTCACTGTGCAAACCACAATACCAAACCTAAAACAGGCTCCTAAAATTCTGCTGTCAGTAAATGCTTATCTTGCCTTCAGGTAATCTCAACTAATTCACACTATTTTGAAATATTAAAAAAAAAAAAAAGAGAGAGAGCCACTAGGCCAGAAGCAGTCAGAGCTCTATGAATTAGAGGCTAGCCTATTAAATATAAATACATAGTCATTTATATATAGTTGAGTTTTTCTTCATTCATGTTGGACCAAGATAAAGACACGCAAAGGCTCCCAGATTTAAGCATCCTGACCTCAGATTCTATGGTGTGCTCTCAGGTACAATCACATCAATCTGCACCAAGAGCCCACCAAACAACACACCACAGAAACAATTACCATGTGTACCTCAGAGATGTAGAGGTCCGCCTGTTTCAGCAGCTCTCCAATGATAAGGACATTGGATGTGGTGCCATCACCCGTTATGTCATCCTGGGCTGTAGCTACTTTCGCAATTAAAGAGGCTGTTGGGTGTTGAATTTGCTGAAAGTAGAAAAAGAACTATTTAAATGACTTAAAACGTTACCCAAGGTAAAACATAAGACAGACTTCTTTTAATTAAAGCCATCTACTTAAACTGTCCAGCTTGGCTACGTTGTTTGGATTATAAAGTCATTTTCTTTTTTAGGATTTGAACTGTTGGACCAATTTCATCTGACCCTCGGGACAAAAATAATTATAGTAAAATATAATTAGTTAGGTGTGACGGTATAAAGTTTTAACCCCACTATTCAGGAGGTAGAAGCAGGTTCGAGGCCAGTCAGGGCATAATGAAATCCTGGCTTAAAGGAAAAATAATCAAAGTAAGAAAATTTTCATTTCTCCTATAGTTGAATGGAAAGGTGAGGATTTATTTTGGTTTCTCTTCCCCACTTGTCCTGTTTTTGAGGAAGGGTCTCACTATGCAGTCTTGCCTGGCTTTTGATTTTTGTTGTTGCGTTTCTGGTTTTTCGAGACAAGGTTTCTCTGTAACTGCCCCTGGCTGTCCTGGAAATTGCTCTGTAGACCAGACTGTCTTTAAATCCAGAGATCCTCCTGTCTCGCCTCCTGAGTGCTGGGATTAAATCTTGCCACCACCACTTGGACTTTTTCTCTTTTAATGAAACAATCTTTTAGCCTAGACTACAAAAGTAGCTCCCTTTTCAAGAAAAAGCAGGGACCGAAATACAAGTGTCAGACTCCAAGCCAGAACTCTTTACCCAATATACTATTTTCTCTGTTTCTTCTGTCTGAAAAATATGAGCCACCTCAGGAATGAACACAGTAACACTAACAAAGAGGAAGTCGAGATTTTTTTTTTTTTTACCTACACTGGCAACCTCTTACCATTTCGTGAAGCAGCACATTGCCATCTTTGGTAAGCTTGATGTCTCCAGCACCAGAAACAAGCCTGTCAAATGGGCAGAAACTGATGAGCAAGAGGTGATTTCTCTCAATGGAAACCCAACTAAGAATTCCATAAAGAAGCCAAGGGTTGCTGATGTCTCTTTTTTGTCCTCTTTTGAGACAAGTGAACCATTGGGAGTTCGAGGCCAGCCTGAGTAATCAGTCAGAACCCAAATAAATACATAATGAAAAGTCCCAAAGGCCATACCGGCGCTTTTTGGGAAGCGGGTACAAAAAAAGGAAAAGGGCGCGGGGGTAATTAAAAGCAAAGTAAAGCGCTACGTCCCAGAAAATTTCATTAATTTACCAACTATAAGGTAACAAAAACAAATCCCATGAAATCTGGACCTTACTTCCACATCCTAGTAAGCTCGGGGCCACGGGGCTGGGTAAAGAAAGGTGCACACGCCACCCTCTACCTCCAAAGGAAGTGGGTGCGACTGTCTACCCGAAAGGCGCGAACTGGGCGTTTTGGATGGGCGGCCGCACAGACATGGTAGAAAACGTCCCAGCGAAGGCCCGAAGGCGGCGGCTCGAGTTTGCGGCCACTGGCCCACCAGGCCCGTCCTCCCGCCATCCCGGCCTTACATCTTCATGGTTCCCTTAGGCCCCAAGTTGGTCCTCAGAACATCCTGCAGGCCCCGTGCCGCGCTGATGTTCACTGCCAGCGCTGCCTGCGCCCGGGCCACCTCGGCTTTAGGGTTGAGGGTCTTCACCGCCGCCATGGTTGGCCAAGCTCAGGGAGAGGCCGAGAACAACGTGCTCTATGCGGGTCTTCTCGAAAAGTCTTACGCACCGGGCCCGCCCCCAGCGTGCTCACAGGGCACCTCCATTGGGCTGAGGCTCGGCTGCTGCCCGCTGATTGGCTCAGACGGACGCTAGTCTCTCGAGGCTCCGCTCATCTCACCCAGTTGCGGCGTCATTGCGCCACCGAGAAACTTGTTCTCTGGCAATCGGCGCTCCGAATCTTAAGGTTCCGTTATGGTCGCAGCACGTTGTCGCCGATCCGCGATTTAAGGCCTGAAGCGCAGGCAAGAACGTCCTATAGATCGTGTCTGAGGGATGCTTCAGCCTCAGCACTCGTCTGGGCGTTACGGGAAGCAGAGGCATAGGCTTCGCTTTGCGTGGTGTCTGTAGCTCCTGGACTCTGGGTTCCGGGATGGGCCCCTTACCCTCTCGCGAGGTTTCCCAGATTCATTTTCCTTGCTTGTTTTATCCATACATGTGGGGACACAGAAGAAGGACGCTTCCCCAGTACCCTGTTGGTTTAAACCCGGGGAAGAAACGTGTAATGCCAGGTAGAAATTCCTAGATGGCTTTAGAGGCGACTAGATTGGTGCGATGGGCGTTGAGGAGACTCAAGAGTCGGTTCGTTCTTAGGGCCCGGGCCACTGAGGCAGATTTGCAGACTCAGGGTTTGTTGGGTTGTTTTTTGGAGATGCTATTTCTGTGTAGCCTTGGCTGTCCTGGAAGTCGCTCTGTAGACCCTCTGCCTCCAGAGTGCTGGGATTAAAGACATGCTCCCCAACCGCCCGGCTTTTATTTTTATTTTTGTATGTGATACAAGGTCTCACTCTGGCCCTAGATAAACTACCCCCACTGTGTAGCCTGGACTGGTAGCTAACTCGCAACAGTCTTCTGCTTTAACCTACAAAATGGTGTGAGCTACTATGCCTGCTAAAAGCTCAAACTTACCTGGACAGTGGTACCCAGCCTTTGAAAGGACTCCTTTAACTTGAAAAAAAAAAAAAAAACAGTTTTTAACTTAGCTTTATTTTATATGCATTGGTGTGAAAGTATCAGATCCCCTGGAACTGGAGTTACAAGCAGTTGGGAAGCTGCCACGTGGGTGCTAGGAGTTGGACCTGGGTCCTCTGGAAGAAAAAGCGCTGAACCATCGCTGAACCATCTCTCCATACCCGTTTAGCTTTTTTTGTTTGTTTGTTTGTTTGTTGTTGTTTTTCGAGACAGGGTTTCTCTGTAGTTTTGGAGCCTGTCCTGGAACTCGCTCTGTAGACCACCCTGGCCTAGAACTCACAGAGATCCACCTGCCTCTGCCTTCCGAGTGCTGGGATTAAAGGCGTGTGCCACCACTACCTACCTGCCTTTTGTGTGTGTTGTGTGTATGTGTGTGTTAATATGTATGGGCGTTTTCTCTGCCTGTATGCCTGAGCACTTAGGTGTATATATGCTCTTTTTTGTGCTCAATTTTTAAGCTGTTACCTGAATTTATAAACATGTATATCAATAGAAATCACTTCACAAAGATGACAATTCATAACACCATTGAATATATTATACTGGTCTATACTGGAGGTTATGCTATTTTAATTGAAATAAATTCTCATGCTCTTCAGTATCTTGCAGTGTCTGATACTTACTGCAAGAATGAAACAAAACCAGGCATAGTGGCACACATTTTAATCCCAGCACTAGGCAGGCAGGCAGATCAATGTGGGTTTAAGGCAAACTATCTACATAGCAAGTTCCAGGCCAGCCATGGCTACATAGTGAAACTCTGTTTCAAAACAGAAAAAAGAATGGGATAGTGATGATGCATGCTTTTAGTCCCAGGACTTGGGAGTCAGAGGCAGGTGGATCTCTGAGTTTAAGGCCAGACTGGTCTAGAGAGTGTGTTCCCGGACAGCCAGGACTGTTTCACAGAGAAACCCTGTCTCAAAAAGCAAAGCAAAACAACAACAATAACAACAAAAAAAGGAAGAAATATTGGAGGTGTCTTCTTTTTTTTAATTAATTTATTTATTTATTAAAGATTTCTGTCTCTTCCCCACCGCCGCCTCCCCTTTCCCTCCCCCTCCCCCAATCAAGTCCCCCTCCCTCGTCAGCCCAAAAAGCAATCAGGGTTCTCTGCCCTGTGGGAAGTCCAAGGACCACCCACCTCCATCCAGGTCTAGTAAGGTGAGCATCCACGAAACTGCCTAGGCTCCCACGAAACCAATAGGTCCAGTAGAATCAAAAACCCGTTGCCATTGTTCTTGAGGTCTCAGTAGTCCTCCTTGTCCGCTATGTTCAGCGAGACCGGTTTTGACCCAGGCTTTTTCAGACCCAGGCCAGCTGGCCTTGGTGAGTTCCTGATAGAACATCCCCATTGTCTCAGTGTATGGGTGCACCTCTCGCGGTCCTGAGTTCCTTGCTTGTGCTCTCTCTCCTTCTGCTCCTGATTTGGATCTTCTTTTTTTTTTTTTTTTTAACTTGTGGTTTGTTTTATTTTTTAGATAGGTCTTACTATGCAATCCTGCCTCTACCCACCTCCTCTCTACTTATTTATTTGTATGGGTATTTTGTATACACATACGTCTGCACACTAGAAAAAGGCATCAGACCCATGTGTAAGTTGGAAAGGAAGAGCAGCCAGTGCTCTAAACCATTGAGCCATCTCTCCCCATCTGCCTGGCTCCTAAGTTCAGGCATTACAGGCATGCGCCACCACCCCTGGCTGACGTATGCAGGGCAAGTGCTTTTCCTCTGAACCATAGTCCCAGCAATGTGTCTTTCTCACAGTGGATATCACACGGCATCACCACATCTAGCTAAGGGTTTTGTGTTTTGTTATTTTATTTATTTATTTATTTCCAGACAGGGTTTCTCTGTAGATTTTTGGTTCCTGTCCTGGAACTAGCTCTTGTAGACCAGGCTGGCCTCGAACTCATAGAGATCTGCCTGCCTCTGCTTTCTGAGAGCTGGGATTAAAGGAATGCGCCACCACCATCTATCTGGCTTTTGTTATGTCTTTAACATAATTCATTGAATGACTGCATCACAATTTATTTCACCAGCCTTCCCCTGGGTTATATTTATTCTGATATTTTGCTATTAAAAATCTCTATGACAGTTCACATATATGATAGAAGCTACATTTGAGGCTGTCACATGCTGTGGTCTACTTCCACCACAGGATGTCATGACTCTACTGGTTTCCAGTCTTTTTTTAAAGATTTATTTATTATGTATATAGCATTCTGCCTGCATTTATATCTGTTGGCCAGAAGAGGGCACCAGATCTCATTTTTTGGATCGTGGTGAGCTATTATAATGGTTGCTGGGAATTGAACTCAGGACCTCTGGAAGAGTAGTTAGTCCTCTTAACTGCTGAGCCTTCTCTCCAACACTGGTTCCCAATCTTTTAAAAAGAGTTTTGTTGTTGTTCGAGACAAAGTCTCAAAAGGTTTTATTGGGGGCTGGAGAGATGGCTCAGTGGTTAAGAGCATTGCCTGCTCTTCCAAAGGTCCTGAGTTCAATTCCCGGCAACCACATGGTGGCTCACAACCATCTGTAATGGGGTCTGGTGCCCTCTTCTGGCCTGCAGGCATGCACACAGACAGAATATTGTATACATAATTAATAAATAAATATTTTTTAAAAAAAAGCTAACAGGGTCTCCTGTTGTCTAGGCCGGCCTCACTCTCAGTATGAGCTCTAGGATGACCTTGAACTGATTCTTTTGCTCAGTTTCCAGAGTGTTGTAAGTATGGTTATGTACCACCATACCTGGTTTTGTTCTGAGACAGGCTTACTGTGTAGCTTACTGACACTTACTGTGTAGCCCAGGCTGGCCTCATCCTGACAATCCTCTCACCTCATGGTCTAGATTGCTGGGATTAACAGACCTCTAGCACTCTCCCGCTTTGACCTTGGCATCTTTGAGTATCCAGCAATTATTTTAGACTTATTTGGTGTAGTTTGATGTTACCTAGTGACTAAATTCATTTTGGCAAAAAATATCACAGGGATGACATGTGCTTATTGTGGCTTAAGAAAAGTCATGTGATTCCGATTTATCCCATTGTTAGTGCTATTAACTTTGACCATTTATTTGAAAGTTGCCGGGTTACTATAAAGTCTTAACTTTTCTCTCGGGGGCATCTGCAGGGCAGACGGCTCTTCTAGAAGACCTAAGTATCCGTAACTCCAGCCCCTTGGAATCTGACGCCTCTGGCCTGCACTCTTGGGCACACACCTTCATGCAGGTACATAATCCTACGCATAATTAAAAAATAATAAAAACAAATCTTTAAATTTGCTCTCTGTATTCAGTCAGTAATTCTATAAATATCCTTGTTTTGTTTTGTTTTTGTTTTCTCTATATCTTTGGAGCCTGTCCTGGAACTTGCTCTGTAGACCAGGCACCAGGCAGCCCTTGAACTCACAGAGATCCGCCTGCCTCTGCCTCCAGAGTGCTGGGATTAAAGGCGTGTGCCACCACTGCCCAGTGTTGTTGCTATTTTTATGACACTTACTTGTGTATTTTTGTATGTTTGTTTGTTGTTTATTGAGACAGTCTCACTATGTCTCACTGTATACGCCTGCCTGACTCTCAACTCAAAAAGATTGCCTGCCTCTGTTTCCCAAGTGTTGAAATTCAAAGTGCGAGCCATACTGGGCAGGGTGGCCCATGCCTTTAAACCCAGTACTCAAAAGGTAGAGGCAGGAGAATCTCTGTGAGGTCAAGGCCAGCCTGGTCTATAAAGTGAGTTCTAGGACAGGCTCCAAAGCTACACAGAGAAACCCTGCCTCAAAAAATCAGAAGAAAAAAAAAGTGTGAGCCACTACACCTGTCTTTCTAATACACTAATATTTTTTCTTTTAATTTTATGTTTGTCTTTGTGTGTGGTTGCAGGTTCTTGAAGAGGCCTGAGCTATCAGATCCCACTGGAGCTGAGTTTACAGGTAGTTGTGAGTTGCCTGTTGTGGGTGCAGGGAATTAAATTCAATACATGCTCTTAGCCACTGAGCCATCACTCCAGCCCTGACTCAGTTTTTAGTTGGATATGTACTTTTGCTGAACATAAACACTGCCACCTTGTGCCCAAACCTTGTACAGGTGTGCGATGAGGGCTCTAAAAGGACCAGGAACAGCTGGCAGATTTGATTTAAATAGCTGAAATTTTTATGAATAGGTAATGTAGGGATAATAGCACAAACGAGCTCTTGTAGTCATTCATATTTATAGTAGTTAAGCTTTTCAAATAAAAATTTTCATTGCTGTCTATACTTAAATGCATGTTTATTGTTTAACATCTTGCATCTTTTGTTATACTAATTTTAAAGTTACTACCAAGCACATATGTGTTATTGACTAGATTGATATTTTTAAAACTCTTAATTTGCCTATTTTTTCATGTGCTCTTGGGGTTTACTTAGGCAGCCCTCTACTTCATCAAAACCGTCTCTGAGGCTGGCTAGACAGCTCAGCTGGTAAAGGCATTTGCCACTAAGCCTAATGACATGAATTTGATCCCCAGGACACCCATAGTGGAAGGAGAAAACTGACTTCACAAAGTTGTCCTGAGTTCCATGTGCACACTGTAGAACCTCACCCACAGTGATTAAATAAATGTAACCTAAAAGAATCCCATCTCCAGTGGACGCCCCACGTTTACAGCCATTTTTCAACTAGTGAATTCTGGGAATGATAAACTTCAAAATCATGTCTGATCAAAGAGATTGGGGACTTGTGTTACTGGGTTGAATTTTATAATTTTTTTGTTTGTTTGTTTTGAGATGGTCTTACTGCATAGTTGTAAGTTAGCCTGGAACTCATTATGTAGACCTGGCTGGCCTTGAACTCACAGAGATCCAATTGTCTCTGCCTCCCTCCTGAGTTCTGAGTTTAAAGACTTGTACCACCTTCCTGAATTGTGTGTTTTTGAGAGCTTCTCTGGCTTAAGGGCATGGTTGTCATGGCTAAACCCTTAGCCTTGGCATTTTCTCTACTTGGCAAAGCAGATGATCAGCTAGATACTTCAAGTTGTCTTCGGTTGAACTTCATTGCCTAATTGCAGTCAGCGTCCTGCAATGTGAATATTCGGGAACAACACTTCTTACTGGTTATGCTAAAATAATAGCTGGACAAGTGACATCTGGAAGGGGGTAGGTGGGAAAGAAGAAAGCAGGTACATGTTGAACCTGGTGGATCTGGGGCCTGTCATTCCAGCCTTTCAAGAGACTGAGGTAGAGGGAGCACAAGTTCAAGGACTGACAGGGATACAGAGTGAGTTGAAGGCCAGCTTGGGCAACTTAGACTCATTTTCAAATTACGAATTAAAATGAGAGCTACATAGGGCTATAATACTCACGAATAGAACATTTGACTAGTATGTGTAAAGCCCTAGGTTCACAATTCCAAGTACATACACACACATGCATGTGTGTGTGCATGCATGCGTGCACATGCACACACACACACACTCACAATTCCAAGAAACAAACCCCCTAAATCAACCAAATGGGCGGATAAAACAAAACAAGCACACGTTCTGAGAAGTTGGCTCAGCAGCTGAAGTACTTGCCATGCAAGCCCAAGATTGAGAGTTTAGATTCATGGGACTCACATAAACGTGGGAATGGAAGCCTGTGAAATTCTAGCACTGGGAAGGCAGAAATGTGATCCTCAAAGTAAGCTGGCTGGGTAGAATAGTTTTCTGTTTTGTTTTTAATTTATATTTTAATGTATAAGTTCTCTGCATGTATACCTGCATGCCAGAAGAGGGCATCAGATCCTATTATACATAGATGGTTGTGAGCCATCATGCAGGTGCTGGGGACTGAACTCAGGACATCTGGAAAAGCAACCAGTGCTCTTAGCCATTGAGCCATCTGTCCAGCCCCAGGTAGAATAGCTTTATGCAGCAACTCTGAGGTCGATGGAGAGATCCCACCTTAATGAACAAGGTGGAAAGCAATTGAGGAAGACACCTGCTACCAACCTTGGGTCTCCAGGTACACACACAAGCACCATCACTCACAAGAAAGCATACACACCACTCAAATATACGCATGAGGAAAAAATTACAAAGATTCAAAAAAGATAGGAGGGGGCTGGAGAGATGGCTCAGTGGTTAAGAGCACTGGCTGCACTTCCAAAGGTCCTGAGTTCAATTCCCAGCAACCACATGGTGGCTCACAACCATCTGTAATGAAATATGCTGCCCTCTTCTGGCCTGCAGGGACATATGCAGGCAGACCACTGTATACTTAATAAATAAATCTTTAGGGGGAGGGAAATGGGAGGCAGTGGCGGGGAGGAGACAGAAATCTTTAATAAATAAATAAACAAATAAAACAAAAAAATAAATCTTTAAAAAAAGTTTCATATTAAAAAAAAAAGAGGTAGAGAGATGGCTCAGTGGTTAAGAGCAGTGGCTGCT